ACACGGTGCGTTCCACCACCGCTGATCTGCCTCGTCATGAACACATATGTCCGCGTATCACATCGTTAAACTGACGTGGCCGTCGATTATAACGACGTACCCACTCGAATTATGTCGTTATATCGTTGTCACGGTGATAATTATTGTCATCAGGGTAGTACCCGTGCATGACTGATGGTAGTTAGACCAGCGGTATATTAGCAGTTGCCACAACATCATACCTCTCGGTGTTTTAATGAATAGCAGCATCAATATCATCGCTATGAAAGTCACGATAGTTAGACCTATTACGCGCATATACGCACACGTGTGCTGTAGGCACTCACGCACACACAAACACGCTCACACACGCACACACACGCACGCACACACGCACACACACGCACACACACCCACACACACACGCACACACGCGTACGCACGCACGCACACACGCGCACGCTCACACACGCACACACACACACGCAAACACACGCGCACGCACACACGCACACACACGCGCACGCACACACACGCACACACACAAACACGCTCACACAAGCGCACGCACGCATGCGCGTCCGCACGCGGGCAAGCAACGTACGCACACAGAGGCACGCACTCACACACGCGCTCAAACTAGGTTTCCTAAGCGTATAACGCATGTTCGGTGTTCGCGCCTGTTGCTTCTATATAGAAACGAAACGACAGCATCATCTTCACAGCATAAAGAAGTGGTACGAAGATTACTACGACGAGAAGTGGCCTACATGTTTCTGGACACAGTACACAGTGCTAAACAAACGTGACTTCATCCAGTTAATCGCACGCAGGGTTTACGTGGCAAACATCATCGTGCCTCGTCGCTGTGCATTCAGCTCATGATCAATACTGCAGCTATAACGTAGACTTTCCTCTTTCGAGAAACGCTCATATCACGGAAACCCCTTAATTTAGCAGGAATAATCACATATAGCGTCGTCGCTATTCTGAAATCGTGCGAAGATACCTTCTTAGATACGAAACCACGAATGTCGTTGCTTTCACTTCTCTTTCAGGCAAAGAACAAAATATTGTCGAAATGGGCCGCTATTCAAGTCGTTTCCGTGGCAATCATGGCTGGATTAGTCTGGTTTCAAATCGAGCGAACCGAGGAGCGACTGACTGATAGAAAAGGCATTGTGAGTAACACGCGGTCGGTATCGTTATAACGGCCCTACAAATGCTGCTTTCTTACCCCGAGCCTTCAGCGACGCTCCCTATTATATTACCATTGTTGATCGTGCGCCAGTACACATCGTCAACGGCGCCGCCGCTGTCGTCATCGTCGGTAACCTTTTTTGTCATAATTCAGTAAAAAGCATGGCCGCGTCTACATGAGAAAAGAGTCACCACGACGATGCGTCAACGACGGACAACCACAGGAATTTTCATGCGCGGTGTTTTAAGACTCATGCTTTTCGAATCATTTTCGAATTCATTCTCAGAGATATTTTAAACCAAATAATATATAAATCACTGTATGAATAATATTCAGTCAGTTTTGCCATCTTGATAATCGTTCCATGATTTTCGTTTCATCTCAGCTTTTCTTCACCATCATCTACTGGATGGTAACTCCAATGATGGCTACTCTCTCAGCATGTAAGTAAAGTAACATCATAACTTTATATCAACAATTATCAGTCAGACAAGTAGATTCAAGTCTGCTAAAGAGCATTTGTGCATATGTAGGTTTAATCGCTGTTTCTGTGAAGACTGTTAGCTAACGTATTTATGATTGATGGGGCATTCCGGCAAGAGTAACTACCCAACAGCAACGTTTCAGTCCCTAAACGTACATCGAAACAATAATGCTGATTAACCATCAATCAAGTCAATCAGGTTAATTCAAATCAATCAATTAAAACAATAAAAGCGGGAATACTTTAGGATATCGAAGGAGAAGGACTGTGTGAAAAGTGTCTCGCATGCAGTCTCTTGTTTGTATCTTACACATGATGTAGCGTATCTTGTATTTTCTTTTTTGTATCCTATTGTATTGCGAGCACGTAATGTGGATGACTCAGTTTGACATCACAACTTCTATACATGCATTACAACCGCAACGCATATAATAGGATCGTTTTGCATGCACACGTGATTATTTTAATGAGCGGATAGAAAAAAAACGCGAATATTAAACGTTGCGTGGGTGACGACGTTCAAGAATAACTGTGTGCGCAGAAACGTCGGGTTATAATCGCTGTTTGCATTTAAGCTCCTATTACTCCCGTGCCCTAATCCACTTTTAATTAAGAACGATTATTGGTGAACTTAGACTGACAGAGTAAGCGCGTTTACTCTGATCACGGAGAGTATGCACCTTCCAGAAAATGCAAAACTCCTCACTAAAAGCGCTAGAAGATTCGTAGTGATTTCAACTGGATGATTCCAGTTGAAATCACTACGAATCTTCTAGCGCTTTTAGTGGTGAGTAGAGAGCGACTTTACGATTACATTACGGTGGAAACATGTTTACCCCGTTTGCCGCAAACATTTTAAACGTGGCGTGGCGTTGGCATCCGTTATATGGCGCGCTAGTTTACAAGTGCCAACGGCATTTATTCTACTTCTAAGCCTTTAGAAGTTATCCATCTACATTTACAAAACACGCCACATGTAGCTCAGAAAATTTCATATAAATTAATAGCTTTTAATTTTAACGTTTAATTAAATGTTAAATTAACGTTTTACATGAAAATTTGACAAGCATTAACGGTAATCATTATCTTTATGATGATGTTTAATTACCAACCCCGCCATAAATTGGATGATAATTCCACGCCCAAACTGGAATCTATAACTAATGACATGCATGCTGATGAATGGCTCAACTTCGCTACTCAGTTCCAGAGGAAAGGGAAGTATTAAACAAGGAGCGGTCGGCGGGTGTGTACAGACTGTCCGCTTACTACCTAGCGAAGCTGACCAGCGAGTTACCGCTGGCTGTCACGCTGCCGACACTTTACCTGATCATCGTATACCCCATGGTCGGTCTCAACGGCTACATAGCCTTCTTCGGCATGTGGTTCTTCCTTATGCTCAATGCGGTGGCGTCCCAGGTACGTAGGGCGTAGGTAGTGTGCGAGTGAGCCGCAGCGCGGCAGCACTGCAGAGTTAGTTTAAAAGTTCAATACGATTTATTTAAGCTTTATTAAAGTTACGTTATAATTGCAATAGGTGTTTAGGAATAAATACTAAGCGATTGGTAGAATATTGACGGCATATACTATGCGTCAGCTGTTTCTAGTCAGCCAGCTTCTGTAACCCGCTTTATAAACACGACACAATTTTTAAACACTCAAGTAACACTTTTTCTCAATAAAAACATAGGTTGAAGGTGTATTGAATCAGACCATTTAATTGTTTATGAACAATCATGTTCCGTTATCTATGGTATACTATCATCTACGGTGATTTATGTTACACGGTGATGTATTTTGTTCACGCATAAACTATGCTACATAGTTATATAAAGATACACCCGATTTATGTTCGATTTATGTTCTTTTTTATTTATGCAGAGTTTCGGACTGTTGGCCGGCGCTTATTTCCTCAATCAGTCACAAGGTGTCACCATGTGTGTTACCGTCAGTCTCTTCTATATGATGATGGGAGGTTTCTATGTCGAACATTTCCCGATCTGGCTGCGCTGGGGTCGCTTCATATCGCCCCCTTACTACACCTTCCAGGCATTCAACTACCTGGAATTGCATGACTCGCCGCCTGTCCAGTACGTATACAGGGCCGTAGGCTGAGCAAATTCCTAGGGGGGCAGTGGCGGATCCAGGATTTCAAGGAGGGGTGAGGGTCTGGGGGTCCGCCCACAGAAAATTGGGAAAATGTAGATAGCAGGAGATGGTATTTGAGGCACGTTTGAGTACATGTACAGCCTTCATTCTGACTACGACAATTCTCTTTTAGGAGAACAATTTATTTTTTTAATGTTGCTCCAAAATCTAGGGGGCAGCTGCCTCCGTGTCCCCCGCAGGCTACGGTCCTGGTATATAACAGCGCGGGAACGGTGAAAGGGGAAGTTGGTAGGACCGAGTGTGGGAGTTGATGAAGGGTGGCTGGCCCTGCAGAGTAACGAATGTGCGGTATCCCTGTTGATGCCGCAGGCGCTATCCCTGTAAGCGGGTTTCTAGTTGGCTTTAGGTATGACCTTGCCAATCAACGTAGGGTGCAGTGGAATAATTATATCGCATGTCGGCGTATGTGTACACGTGTTTTATTTGTTATATCTAAACGAATCAAACTGAACGGGATTTAAAGTCAGTTTCTACGATTTAACAACAACGACACGTCTTACCCTATTCCGCAGAGTGGTCAGCTATTTCCATTTCCGTTCGTGTGGCGGCCTAAGGGGGGGGGGGTACTACGCTAACTTTTCAACATGAAAACCGATGTAAATTTCCCAATTTTCGATTATATTTAAATAATAATATCATCATTATATATAGCGATGAAAAATACAAATGCGATTGGCATTATACCCTCATACCTGCCCTTGTACATTACATAGAATCGCCACAGTGCTACAATATATATATGTATATATATATATATTAATACATATATATAGGCAATTATATATATTTCCCATGCTAATTTTCCAGATGTGCGAAGCATAACTCGTTGTTTGCGACGTGTGTGGCGAACAACTCCACGGTGATCACGTCGGATGAGCTTCTAAGTCACCTGGACATCATCGTACCTCTCTACTTCGACTTCGTCTATCTATTCTGCTACACGCTGCTCTGCTACGCGCTCGGCTACTTCGTGCTACGATGTCTACGAAGACCAGACTACCTGGTGCAGAAACAAACGTGACACTGTGCTGCCATCTATCGAACTGCAACTATTTGCTTTCGCATGTTCTTGTATTGGAGCATAACGCGTCAGTATATTATTATCAGGAGTGAATACTAACAGATCTAATGTTTCTAGATAATGTTCCATTATTATTCACGCCTGTTATTATCCCGTAAGTGGCAATGACAATGTGTGTGTTGCGAACCCCGCATGCACTAATACCGCAATCCGATATCAATATATGAATGGAAGCCATAGCAACGAAAGATCGTAAAATCGATCAAGTTTTAATGCGCACGGATACTGATACTGATGCAGGGTGTCACTGTGTTCTACTAAGTTGATAGATTGCCGCCGCACGCAGTCTGCAATATTATGCTTCATATTTGCATATACGATGTTAGCGCGTCTGTGACACTCTTACTGTACGTGGCGTGGTATATCCAGCTCCCTCCCACGATAATAATTCCATGCCACTACGATATTATGACATTAATTAAACATGCTATTAATAAATCATAGCTGTTAATCAAAACGAATCAATTCAGAATATATATATATATAGAAGAAGCGAGTTATCGTATTATATTACTTTTTATTTCTGATTTCTGTTCGTGGAATCACAAGGAGTCAATCATGTGGCTATAATTATAATATGGTGATTTTTAAAGCACATAATTTGTAATATATTCTTATGACAAATGAAACTTATAAACGAGTAGTAGAAATGACGTCATCTGTGCATGCATGTGCTTGCACCAATTGGAGACTTTGTATAGAATATTTAATATTATAATAAAACAAACGCTTGTCTGCGTATTATGTCATTTTCTCTTCGAAGGTTATTTGTCTAACCTCAACATGTAAATGAAAATTGGCTAACGTTCAGAACAAAAGCAAAGTGACACATGATTAGGTATACTAGATAGTTACACATATACAGTATTGTATCCATTGGTATAAGTACTACGGATAAAATTACACGCGTTTCATACATTTATTCACTTAGTATGTTGAGCTATTCTATGATTCTCTTTTCATCTCATTTCATTATTAGATGACATATAAGGTATTACGTTTTTCTATAAAAACTATTTTCATTAAAAACATTTATATTTCACGCCATATATTTATCCCTCCTTCTCTTTCTATATATATATAAATTTATAGATATTAGTATATAGATATATTCAGGAGCGTATAATGACAAATACAATTGTACATTATACATTATACGTCAATTTGTCAATCTATAGTTATATGAATTATTTATTGCAATAACACGGACCGGTCACATGTTAAACATAAACTGGTCACATTATTCATAGTGCATTCATTGGAAAACTAATGCATTGTGCAAAACATAAAAGCATGTCAATTTGTTTACCAAATTACGATATATATGCAATCATTCTGGATGTTTCGCGATGACCCACACTCACACCCATGCACACACCCACGCACAAACACTCATACACCCACACACACACGTATACACACATGTACGCACGCACGCACGCACGCACGCACGCATGCACACACACACACACACACACACACACGTATACACATGCACACACCATGTGTTTGTTTGTTTGTTTGTGTGTGCGTGCGTGTGTGCGTGTGTGTGTGTACGTGTGTGCGTGTGGGTGCGTTCGTGCGTGTGTGTGTGTGTGTTTATAATAGTTTTTAGCACAATAAACATTAGAGTTAGTGTAGAGACTCTATATATGAACAGATGACTATAACTCAGCCGATGACGCCCCCTAGTGGCGCTATTTACAATGGCTTTCTGCTCATGAGTAGGAAGAATGGATGTTCGTAGGTCAGTTCAATGTCATCTGGATGTTTCACTCCAGCTATCTTCAACAACCTACACAATGTAAAACAGGTATTGTCAGACTGTGCCATATATCTGTCTGCCTATCTATCTATCTCTCTATCTATCTATCTATCTATCTATCTATCTATCTATCGTATCTTTATCTATCTATCTATCTATCTTACTATCTATCTATCTATCCTATCTATCATATCTATCTATCTATCTACTATCTAATCTATCTATCTATGCTATCTAATCAATCTATCTATCCTATCATTCTATCTTCGATCTATCTATCTATCATATCTATTTATCTATCTATCCATATCTATCTATCTATCTATCTATCTCGTACTATCTATCTATCTATCTATCTATATATATATCTATTATATATGCTATATACGTGCACGGTTCATCTGAATGATTATGTGCTGTGCGCGCGTGAGAGCATGCTGTGTCCGCGTGTGTGCGTGGGTGTGTGTGCGCCCGCGTGTACGTGTGAGATTGAGTGAGTGAGTGGTGAGTGAGTGAGTGAGTCTGAGTGAGTGTGTGCCGTGTGCGTGTGCGTGTGCGTATGCGTGGTGTGTGTTGTGTGTGTGTGTGTGTGTGTCGTGTGTGCTGTGTTGTGTGTTTTGTGTGTGGTGGTGTGTGTGTGTGTGTGTGGTGTGTGTGTGATGTGTGTGTGTGTGTGTGTGCGTGTGTGTGTGTGTGTGGACAGTGGCGTAGCCAGAATTTTTTAACAGGGGGGCCAAAAACAGCGAACTGCGCAAAATAGTGGATGACTTAATATTTTAATGGTTCCTCCGCCTCCCTCTCGACACCCTACGCTCCCCCACCTCTCAGCTCTGCAATCTTTGGTTTGGGCGCCATGCGAAAAGGCGACATTTTTGTTCGTTGTTCTCTGCTGCCGAGATATGCAGCCAAGATATGTTCGGTAGCGGATCTAGGATTACAAGGAGGGGTGAAAACAGGCGGGGGGTATGGGGGTCCTCCCCCAGAACATTTTGCAAATGTAGATCGCAGGAGATGGTATTTGAGGTATTTTTGAGTACATCCTACAGCCTCCATTCGGACTACGACAATTCTCTTTTTAGTAGAACAATTATTTTTTTTAACATTCGGATTAACAGGGAGGCCATGGCCCCCTTTGCCCCCCTAACTACGCCACTGTGTGTGGACGTACGTAGGTGTCTGAGTGGGGCTGCGTGCGTGTGTTAACAATGTTGCATGGCCAAGGAGTCACAAAATGATGATAAGGTTATGTTAATAATCATTGCGAACACCCGCTCTAGTTAAATGAGTAATTTTCGAGTGTTAGATACGTGCTATAGCCGATAATTCTGGTTCGAGTATCAAGTAATATCAATCATCGATATCAAGTAAACACGGTCACGAACCTTTCGGTGAGTCTTAGCAACACTTTGGTGTCACGTGTGCGGGATATGTAGTCGTGATAGGCTGACCACGATGTGACGTAGTTCAGCATATGCGTCAATGTTGCTTGGTGAACATAATATAGCGAACGGTCCCCTCTTTATGAAAAGAAATGGAATAATTAACATATAATAAGTTTTGTACGGATCACCTAAATAGCGGTGCAGTCTAAACGACAGTATAAGTTTAGGAGCATAACCTCTCAATTATTAACATCTACTACAATACGATTGAACGTAGAATCCGAAATCCTGAGACCAACCAACCGACTATACAACCTCTTGGATATTTAATGTATTTGCAAATTACTTTCCTTACGTCATAACATTGGCAGTCGTTGCTTAGTGTTATTTTTTATCAAAATGACAATCGTAGGTTGGGTAAACGCATTTCATGTACACACATTTTTTGCGAGCGGGCCTGCGGCATTTCGAGCCACCGAACCCAATATAGTTACATGCATTAATATATTTACCCTGCATATTTTAGCCAATAAAACTCATATCCGATCTAACGTGTGCAGCCTCCGCTCCTCGCTACCTGCTTAATTGAAATCAACTTTCTATTCTCGCACAAAAGAGCGTTAATTATTCACTCCCACGATACTGAAGATTGGCTTCCGCTTCTAGCTTAGGCTACTAATTGGTTTAAAGCAGTGGTTCTTAACCTGGGGGTCGTTTGGGGTTTTTCGGGGGTCATCAAAGGGTCATAAATAAAACAAATCCATTTAAATTCTATATAATTATCAGGGTGCTACAAAATTTCTTTTCCTCACTTGCCCAGTCGGGCAAGTGACTCAAATTGGGTTGCCCACAAGCCCAAAGCACTTGCCCGAATTTTTTTTGATTGTTTGATGGATTTCAGCCATCCCATTGACTGAGTATTGGCATACATGTTTCCATAAATCGGGTTTTTTGTTTATTTTTTTTGTTTCGGGGGTCACGGTACTGACCAAGAATGTCTAATGGGGTCGTGGGGCCAAAAAGGTTAAGAACCACTGGTTTGAAGGCATCGCGAAGTCGTGCTAGCAGCTGGCAGCGGCGGTACTCAGCCAGGTTAATCCTCGTAGGTACATCAAACACTTGACGAATGTCAGTAATTGCGCTCGACACATATAGACGCACGTAATGCGCATCATTGGATGGAGCAATCTTGATTCTACGTAACACGGTACGAGTGTCGTATGTGACAGATCGATGAAGACATTAGGGCCATGGTTTCCACCTACGTCCTGCATCAATGCCAGCAAACAAGCGGGGGGTGGGGACGTGAAGCAGCCGCTACAAGTAATTCAGACCGCCATTTCATGTAGTGTTTCGCAAATCTAGTGTTTATTAGAGAACGAGTAATTAAATTACTACCGGAATCCCTAAAGTGCGCTATGTGCGAATATTCGTATGGCGCTGTATATGTACCTATATCACTGATATCGGTACAAAAGTCCGGTTTGTTGCATTTAATTTGTATTTGCAGTACTTGTATGCACTCAGCGTGTAGGTGGAGGGGCAGGACACCTCGTCAATATTTATTTATGCTTTGCTGGCTGAATATTTTCATGGAGCGTTGTTTATGGATATGTGCTGACTTTTCAGAGTACATGTGTTATACCTGTTATGTTTAATTTGGATTTACACTGCAGGTATGAACTCGGCATGAATAACATCTGCCTAATAAGGTCAACAATAATTTGCAGGATTTTCTCGCGCTATAATTACGATTACGGTAATTTACTTGAGCTCCGGGTAAAGGTAATAGGAAAGCCAATCACATATAATCAATTACTAGTATCACTCCTCGCTCTCAGAGCGAATTCACGGACACTATGATGTCGTTGAGTCATCGTGGTATTTATCTTGGTATGAGTTTCCTTCGGATTCTTCGAAGAACTATACCTACGGAAATGAATGTGACATTTAGTCGAGTCCGCTCACCTATATTCTGTGTTATCTGAGTAAGGTAGTTCTAGGCCACTGTATTCGTCGTCGACCCAACTCTTCATCCATCCCCACGACTTTTGGAAATCACACTCCTCATAAAACTGTAACATAATAATGTATAAATTAAGCATATACACAGTAAGAACAATTAGTAATGGATGGCGTTGGTGGTTAATTATGTATGATGGCGATGATGGTGACATTGGTGCTGCTGCCGCTGCTGCTGCTGCTATTGTTGTTGTTGTTGTTATCGTTGTCGTCGTCGTCGTTGTTGTTGTTGTTGTTGTTGTTGTTGTTGTTGTTATTATTGTTGTTGTTATTGTTGTTGTGACTATTGTCGTTAATGTTGTTATTGTTGTTGTTGTTATTAATGTTATTGTTATTGTTATTGTTATTGTTATTGTTATTGTTATTGTTATTGTTGTTGTTATTGTCATTGTTATTGTTATTATGGCTATTGTTGTTGATATTGTCATTACTGTTATTGTTATTGTTATTGTTATTGATATTGTTATTGTTATTGTTATTGTCATTGTTATTGTTATTGTTACTATTGTTGTTGTTATTGTTATTGTTATTGTTATTGTTATTGTTATTGTTATTGTTATTGCCGGTGGTGTTGTTGTTG